ATAGACATTTTTTCCTTTAATATCTGTAATGATTGGAATTTAGAAAAATAAAGCAAAGTCAAAGATTGGCCATGTGCTGCCTTCTACTACATGCCGGACGAGCTAAGCTTGACCTACTTTTTCCTTGCATCTTCCCAGTACCCTCCTGTTGTGAAGCATGATGACTACAGCAGGGGTGATACCAAGAGGAAGTAGAGGACATTATATATAGCACTGCAATGGTGTGTCCTCAAAAGCTTTTGAAACTCACACTGCAGGCTTACAGTCTTTAAGTACATCTTTCAGGGATTCTTGAAATGAATGAGGTACCCAAGGGAAAACATTTTCCTGTCAAAAATAGCACATTTTTAAAATAGGATATCCCAGAACAAGGCTTGTGCTCGGATATTCATCCTCTGAATGCATAATCAGGCCATGAGTTGGTTATTGCCACTTTAAGATTTTTTTTTTTAGTATTTTAGATTTTTAAAAAATCAAATGGTTTCCTTACTCCTGTGACACTGACATCACCAGGACCAACTAATGGTGTCAGATCTTATGAGTTGATTTTTCTCATATGTGTTCTTAAATGGTTTAAAATAATACAAGAAAATCCTGCTTTACAATTTCTCCTCCCTTGTCCTTTATAGGTATGGCAAGATATTATCAAGAAAACAGCTTTTTTAATGAGTTCTTGCCTTCCCAGTAGGATCCATGTCAGTGGGTAGCCAGTGGAATGCCCATCTATTTCCTCTCACATTTCTCTTCCATAGTTTAAGAAGGGCTCCACCAGGAGAAAAGCTGTTCCCAAGCATTAAATGAGTTGGATTGGTTTTTGACTGCCAAAAAACAGAATAACAGAGCTGGAAGGAAAAAAAGCTAGATGATTAAAGATCATCTAGCAAGGAAGGGTCAAGCAAAAGCTGGCTACAGGAAGGGTCAAGCCAGAGTGTGTCTGATGGACAAGGGAAACAAAGCCAGAAGCAAGGACTACATGTGGCCACAGCTAGCATTAGAGGATTACAGGGGAGCTCCCTTCATTTTATGTCTACGTCATAATCTGAAGTAGGTTGGGTTGAGAGGAAGTGACTGCCTCGGAGTCACCCAGAGAGCTTTCATGGTTAAGAGCGGATGTGAATCTGGTTCTTCTCAGGGCTGAGCTGCACTTCCTGCTTGCCCCAGAGTGAGGGTGGCCCACCTACCATTTTGGAAGGGCAGGAATGGATGATGTCATCCTCAGCCTATTTCTAGGCTGCTGGGATGGTGAACTACTCAGGTTTTCTTGCTCTGCATCCAAAGTAGTGGTTTTCTCTCTCCACTGGCTTTGCAGGATGGTCCCCATGCTGTCTGTCCTTCCTTCCTTCCTTCCTTCCTTCCTTCCTTCCTTCCTTCCTTCCTTCCTTCCTTCCTTCCTTCCT